CCCACAAATGTAAGCAAGGAGGGAAAGTGTACATATATATACTGGTGGGTGGAAATATTGGTTACTAGGTTCTGGGGCTACAATAGAAGTATGGGAGACAGATGAATAATAAAAAAGATACCATAAATAAAGGCACAAGTAATGTTTTGCAAAAGCAGAATCTAAAACTACAGTACAAATTGAATGTGCATATAATCAACACGGGAGCTGACAGTAACAATAAATGCTGCATCAGAGTTTGCAAAGGAATAATGAACAATCCTACATTGGATTTTAGAGATTTTTAAATAGTTTTAAGAAGATAAAGTAACAGTAAAAGGGGAAAAACAGTAAAGCAAGGAAGAGAAAGGAATGAGAGAGAGAAAAAATGGGAATGAAAAGGAAAGGAGTGGTTATGGGGAAAAGAGGGAGCTGTAAACACGAAATCAAGCTAAGAAACTGATCTGGGAATTTCTACTAACCTAGGTAGAAAATATCCTTTATGTGAAAAGAGAGATCATAGAGATTTAAGTAAAACTCTTAAGTAATTCAAATACATTTAAAATTATTTAAAAAGTCTTCAAGGTAAGTACATAAAAACTGGAATGGGGGTTATTTGATAGTTTATTATGTTTCTTATACATTTTCAGCAATACCCATGGTACATTTGCAGAATACTTGTTTGCCATTATAGTATACTTGAGAGTGTGTCAAAGGCATCTTTTGAAATACTTTTGAAAACACTTTCAGGGTTGTGGTTACAAATACATTAAATAGTTACCATTATGTTGCTACTAAAGGCAACCGGTCTTTAACTATGAAATACCATGAATATACAGCTATATAAAACAGGCTTAAAACTCACTATTATTACTTGTAATAGAAACTATTGAAGTATTAATTTTAAAAAGTATATCCAAAACCCACCTTCTGTAGCCAAATTGAGACACAAGGTTTGTGAAAGAAATGGTGGCAGGGCAGCTCTGTTGCTATATCATCCTTAATATACTCACTGCAGCAGATCGGACAGCACTGCTCCTGACCAATAGCTGAAAACAACAAACAATTTGATCTGTCAATCATATGAAATTCAATTTTTGAAAATTAAAAATCAATGTACTAACTCACAGACGATATTATGAACCAGACTTTAATTGCCAAGCATGTTTCTAAGATGATAATTTGGAATTTCACAAATATTCCTTCTTAGAAAGGTTGACTAAAGAGTATCTGGCCTTAGTCTATCACTTTATAAATTAAGATTTCTTTTCTACTAGGTAACAGTTTGGCAGTTTCTGGCTTCTACAAAAAAATCTAATGAAAGTTTCTAATAACCAACTACTTTAATTCCTAAGTATCCTAATATACCAAAATATGCAACATGATATTCAAAATTTGAGCACAACTTTGTCCTTACCAGTGTGATCTTCTAGAACAAGGGTCTCTGGAAGACCATCAATGCTTTCCTTACTAGCTGGTGGATTGGCCACCTCAACATCCACTGCAAGAGACTCTAAATGTGCCAGTGCAGTCTGAAAAAGAGTAGTTACAGTTCTATGTTAGAAAATACTTTGTAATCTTAATCCTATTTAGAACCCTCCCCCATCTGCATCTTCCCATACCTGACCCCACAGATTTCATACATTCTGTAATATAAGTTAAGGCCTATCAAATCAAACTTTTGTATCCAGATGTCCCTTGGTGCAAGTTCATCCACTGGAGTCTAGTCAGTCTATCTAGAGTTACTTCTTTTGGAAAACTACTTTTAAGGTATTCCTTTGCCCCTTTAGTTCCCTTCATAAAGAACTATCAAGTTCATTAAGCCAAAATTCTCACCCCCCACACCTGTAGAAAGCCTTACTTGTCACAAGTAGTGACTTATCTTGTCTTAATAATAATCATTTACTTATTCATTACTATTATTTCTTTTTTTTAATTTAAATTTTATTTTTTATTTTATGTGTATGTGTGTACTGCCTGCATGTAGGTAAGTGCACCCGTGTCATGCAATGCCCATGGAGACAGAAGAGACTGTCAGATCCCCTGGAACTGGAGTTACAGTTTTTAGCTGCCAAGTGGGTGCTGGGATTCAAACCTGGGTCTTCTGCAAGAACAACCAGTGTTCTTAACTGCTGAGCTATCTCTCTAGCCCCATTATTATATTTTTTAAGATGAGTGGTTATGCTTCCAATTTGGGAGCACCTGTGTGAGATCAATAATATGAGGAAAAAAGACACATTAGAAAAACTTACTATGTGAGATAAAATGTGGTGAGGTTATTAAATGTTTAAGATACGAAAGTAATTACTTGACTCCTGAGTGGCTTTATCTACTACCAGGTAGAGTCAGTGCATCCACAATGCCAGCTCACAAGTATTATTAGGGTACCTGGTGGTCAACCTCATTTAGGGGTTCAAATATCTGTATAAAATACTATTTTATGAAGGATGGAAAGAATAAAAGGTTACACGACTACTTAATATGAACCATCCTCTTCTAGATTCCAATGGTCTAGAACGACAGGCAGGCCACTAAGAGTGGGCATGCTGCTTCCTCTGCCTAGTACTTTCTGTCCCTCCTTTAAATCCTATCAATTCTTCAGAGCCTGGGTTAAGTCCTGTCTCTTCCGGAAAGTCTGTCAGTGATCCCAAGCCACAATGGTATCTTTCTTCTGAAGTACTCTGTATTCAAATCATTAATACAATACAGTTTAACAATTTCCTGTTAGTAGTTTATCCTAGAAGCATCCTAAGATCACAGAGCTACAAAAACCCCATTAATCTAGCTAAGTACTTCATTGTTGAGATGGCTACCAAAACTGGGCCTCCTTCCTAGTAGGAATGCAAAATGGTGCAGCCATTACAGAAAACAGTATGACAATTCCTTAGATAATTAAAAATAGAATTACCATGTAACCCAGTATATACCTATGCTAATTATTTATAAGAGCCATAAAGTGGGAGTAACTCAAGTGTCTGAATGATAAAGAAAAGGCGTGGACACACACGAATATGAATCAGCTTTGAAAAAAATAAATTCTAACATATGCTACAACATGAATGAACCTTAATAACATGTTAAGTGAAATAAGTCCGTTAGAGAAAGATAAACAGTATATGATTCCATATATGAGTTACCTAAGGTAGTAAAATTCATAGACCAAAAAGGACACTGGTGGTTGTCAGGGGCAAAGGCACACAAGGAGGTTCCTTTCCTTTAAAAATAACAGTGTTAAAAATAAATAATAAATAACATAAAAGTAACAGTGTAAGGGACCAGTGACTTGGCTCATCAGGAAGCCTGATCCTGAGCTCAATTTGTGGAATCCACATAAAGTAGAAGAGAACAAACTCCACAAACTCGTCCTCTGACCTCCACACTCGTCCCCACATCCATGAACACACTCACACACACAATAAATTAAAGGGTATGAATGTACTTAATATTACTGAACTGTACACTGATTAAAAATAGTTAAAACAATAAATTTTATGTTTATGCCTATTTCACCACATAGAACAGTTCTGATAGCGAACAATGCATTCCTTTAAATGACACATTCTTTTATATATGCTTAATGTTCTAACATAAATTATATAAAAGTATTATATCGAGTTTAATAATAGAGCACAGCCAATCCTAAAAGCAAAACCAGAACTGAGAGGAAAAAGGCTCACAAGTTTATAAATATAACTGATAATACTGAACACCAAATTGTACTCTGGATTTGCAGAGGCACTGCAGAAAGAGAACAAATGTGCCAGAAATTGAATTACTGCCTCACAGCTTCAAATTCACCTTTCATTTCTACTCAGGCCTTTAAGGTATTTTCCTTCTGCCAGCTAGCATGGTATTAAGTGTGTTCAGTAGAGGGCACTGCAGAGGCAGCACAGGGGAGAGGGCTCTGCCTTTCCTGGTTCTCTAGGGCTTGCTGAGTGGGACCCAGCTGCTTTCACTATGCACCAGGCTTCTTAGCACCAGGCTCCTCTAGTGAAGTCTTTGTCCTTCTCCTGGCTTCTGAAGCACAAACAGCTACAGTGGCTAGCAGCTTTTCCAAGCATTCACTGAGCAGGGCTTTTTTACCAAAGTGTTTCCAGTTTAGTCAATTTCCTGTGAACTATTCTTTTGGTGCCCAAGAGGGCAGAGTTTTGCTAAGTTCCAGAGAGCATAAACCCAGCAAGCCCTGCTAGTACAGTACCATATAAGCCATGGTTATGCCCTCCTGACATGTCAACTATGATGGGCCCTGGGGAAGTAGAGTATACAATCTTAGCCTAAAAAGTTGTGCCCTAATGCTTTTCTTTCTATGTTCTTTAGAGTTCATTTTATTTCTTATTAATTCCCAATAATTATTCTTATCAATGCCTTATCCTATTCTCTCACTGTCAGTAACAATAATTTATACAAAACTTTTCTTGTTCAAAATGTTTTTCCCCCTATGACTGAGTCCAGAGGACAGAGAACTGGTATTAGGAGTAATCCCAGGACACAGAATGCAACTACAGAATTGGGATTGGTTACTCTCAAGGCTTCAGGATGTGAGTTCAGTCCTGAGTCCCTCGCCAATGATAACGAGATGTTATGAAACCTGTGGCCTGTAGTGGCATCATAACTGAAGCATGTGTCCTTGGATGGATGCCTAGGTAAAGGCTGTACTTGATTTTATAACAGAAACAGAATGAGTATAAAAACTATGATTGGAACCTATTACTGTCATTTTCCTAAACCAATAAAATATCTAACTATATTCTAACTACTTACCCTTACACCCACAGATAAGCTCTTACTCTGCATTAAAGAAGCTTCTTCATGTAGGAGATGGAGGCTACTAGAGATTCAAAATTTGTCAAAATGCAGAGAATAAGTTACTGTGGGATGCCCAGCCCCAATGGGTACATCTACAATGCAACTCCTACACTGAAGGCACAGGGAACATTGTGGAAGATGGGGTGGAAAGATTATAAGAACCAGAGGACCAGAACATCTGGTGCTAGATTATGTCCCCTAGATATGAAAAGGATGTTGCACCCATGAAATCTCAATAATATGGTTACCTAAACAAGATCTGCCTAATTACTACACCAGTTGACATGCCAATGTAGATATGGGAAACTGTACATCTAGATGGAGAGCTACAAGCCATCAACGGCTGCTCAGAACCGGAGAGTAACTATTCTCCAGGGATGAGCCCCAACATGTTTTATCCAGACCTAAGTGAGCAGCCCTAAACACATTACATGCAAACAACACTAAACAGACTCAGAGTCATACACACACACACACACACACACACACACACGCAACAATAATACAGAAGAAGAGACCATGAAATTGAGAAGGAGTTGGAGGGGGAGAGGGAGGGATGGAAATGGTGTAAATATAGTACTCATGTATGAAATTCTCAAAAAAATCTTTAAATAAAAAAACTGTGATTTGGGGATGGATTATTCCAAGTGTCACTGTGCACTTCAAAAGAGAAAATTACCAGTGTAACTCTGTTGTCTCTCATTTTAAGATTAAGTATGGATCCAGAGCTTCTGTGACAACCCTCAATGTACTTATTTCTGAAGATGAAATACAAATTTTGTATGGATAGCTAACTTAAAGTGAGAGTAAAATTTTTTGTCTCATCAAATTCCACAAATTGACTGGTCAAAGTATGGGATTCTGAAGCTTGGGATCTGGTTGAACTCAGATGAATCTCTTTTTTTTTAACCACTAGGAATAGTCTACTTTCCAGATTAGACTTCCTCTGTTTGAAACATAAAATAAGCTCACCTAGAATATGAAATATTAGGTTCCTTCATGTTTAACAATAGAGTTAACAGAAAATGAAAGCCAAAACAACGACTGAGGTGAATACAGTGTCTTCAGACTTGCAGGTATGGGTCATTCTCTAAAGTAAAGAATTCCAGCTTGACTATGGGGATAGTTCAATTAGTTGGTATAGTGCTTTCTTTGCAAGCCTAAGGACTTGAGTTTGGATTCATCCACTCACTGGGGGGTTGGGATGTGTCTGAGGACTTGTATTCCTCTTGTAATCCTAGTGCTGGGGAGATGGAGAGATTCAGGGCTTTCCCTGGAACTCAACCGCATAGGATGGTTCTGAGCCAGGGCTCAAGGAAAGGGCAGGCAAAATGGTGATGGAGAAGAGCAGGGAAACTCTAGGCTTTGGAAGACTTTTCTGGGGGAGAGGAGAGGGGAGCAGTTCCATAACACAGTTCAGTTTCAGCTGTACATAGCACCTTCCTATGAATAGCTTTCTCTGACAACCTCAGAAGGCTGACATGCAGCAAATTCCAAAGGCCAGCTTCCAAACAAGTTTTGCCAGCATGTCCCAGTGTGATTTCTTTGTCATCCAGTGAGCCAGAGTTGTGCCATTTCCATCAAGGTCTGGATTCCAACCCTTGAGTAGAGTGGGGAGTCTTCCTTGAGTTCTATCTTAGCAGACAGGGAGTGGCTGCTCATTATATACCCGTGCCTTTCCTATATTCTTTATAATTATCTATACTTTTTACTAGTCATTCCCTTAATTCCCTAATGTCTTATTAGAGTTAACAATTCTTTATATTACATTTTTTATCAGAAGATACTAAAGGGAAAGTTAAGATTTTGTTATCTATGTCTTGTAATAGTCATCAATCTCCCCTATTTCCCTGTGTACTTCTCAATATAAAGCCTGTTTAAGATAACTCAGATATACTACAAATAAACAGTAAAAAGGAATTCTACTTATATAACAACTTCCACTTGAGAGATTAATTCTCAACCATACACTCAAAAGATGAAAAACAAAATTTATGCTGAATGTGCTTCATTCTAGGAATAAACTCATAAAATAATTAGGAAGGAGAAAAGCCTCCATTTCATTAAGGAATGTAATTTCTTGCCAAAATTGTGTTTTTAAGTATTAAGCAAAATTTTTAATTTATCTATGATTAACTGTAACTGCAAACAAGAAATTATAACTCATTTGAAATTTTTTGGCATAAAATTAAAAAAAATTTTTGACCTATTTTTATGTGTATAGGTATTATATCTGCATGTGTGTAAGTGCACCTGTGTCATGTGCCCAGGGAGAACAGAAGAGGGCATTGGATCCCCTGGAACTGGAGTTACGAATGGTTGTTGGTCACCATGTGGGTGGTGGGATTCAAACCTGGGTCTTCTGTAGGAAGCCAATGCTTTTAACTGCTGAGCCATCTCTCCAGCCTGACATAAATTTTTTTCAAAAATTGTATTTGTGTGTGTGTCTTTGTGCATGCACGCATGCATATGCGTGCATGAGTAGGGCAGTCAGAGGACAACTTCTGGGAGTTGGTTCTTTCCTTCTACTGTGTGGGTCCAAGGGACTGAACCCAAATTATCAAGCTTGACAGCAAGCCCCTTTATCCACTGACCATCTTGCCAGCTCTGCATTAAATTTTCCCTCCATTACTCCCTCCCTCCCTCCCTCTGGAACTGGAGTTACAAATGGTTGTTAGCTGCCATGTGGGTGTTGGGAACTGAACCCAGGTCCTCTGGAAGAGCAGCAAGTATTCTTAACTGCCAAGCGATCTCTCTAGTCCCATCCTGCATTAATATTTTAAAATCTATTTTCTTTGCAAAGATGTACTTAAGAGTTATGTTGAAAACTTCAGATGTCTACATAAACCTATATAAGTATATAAGTTTTCAAATTTCAGAGTATGTAATTTTACCCTGCCCTCACTCAAATTTGAAACACATATATAAGACTAATGCGTATTGCTAAGACTTTCAGCAAAAGATACTATCAATAGAGAAAGGTCTAGTATTGGAAAAGTAACAGAAACAAAAGCAACTACTTACAAAAAAAGGACCAGCTGCTTAGTACACAAATAAAAGCATGCATGCAGTTTGTTTTTACTGCTTTTGTTTCATTTAAAGAATGTCAGTGCTAAATCTAAAAGGAAGTGATGTTATTTCAGCTTTATCTTTCAAAAATTATTAAATAAATGCATACTAGACATGGAAACATAATTTTTTTTGAAACAGGGTCTCCCTGTAGCCCCAGTTGGCATGGAACTCTATGTAGACCAGGTTGGCCTTGAACTCACAGAAATCTACCTGCCTCTGCCTCCCAAGTGCTGGGACTAGAGGCATGTGCCACCATGCCCAGCATTCTATAATTTCTATAGAATGATAGGAAATGGAATTGTACTGATTATCTTGATGTGAAATACCTCAATCAAAGTCAAGTTCAATAATGCTAGACTAGAGAAAAGAGAAAGAGCTAAAGCCATTCACCAGAGACCCAAGAACCGAGAAGTAAACATAGTTTTCAAAGTGGCAGCACTACTGGGCTTGTCCTTACCAGAAATTAACAATGGATGGGCTGTAAGTTCCCACACATACCATGCTCTTTATTGCTTCTTGTCTTTATTCGCTCTACTACTGCCTTTGTACATCATGACCTCTCGTGAGCAATTTTTAGCTATTCTTTCAATCAAATATCACACTGCCTATTGGTAATAAATATAGCGTTTATTTTTAAAGTCATCTCCACATTGAAGGAAATCAAACTCTATAGTCAGAAAAAAATAAAAGGTGTTTAAAACATTGAAAAGTTAAATCCTTATGTTGCCTATGGAAGTGAGTGATTTTAATCTTTATTAAGTCTCATGCAAGTTATTACACTGTACCATTTGGGAAGGAAGGTTAAGTAAAAGTCCAGAGTGTATCCTATTTTAATGATGTTGATTTTTCTCCTAGTATATAGTATTTCTGTTATGGTAATTTTGAGAAAAATATATACTAATAGAGCATAACTGAAAGCAATGAGCTCCATGGAAAATTACATACATGTACAAAAAAGTGATATGTAGATTGTTCTATTTGCCCACCCATCTACCTACCTATGATCTAATTTATCAACCTCAACTGGATTTTCTATTCTCATATAAATTTCAAGATAAAATACTGTCATAATGCTCTTGAAGTTCCTTCTTACTTTGTTTTTTCACCTCTTCCTCAGTCACTCCTTATTACTGTTCCTCTAGTTTGAAATCACTTTATGAAGTGATTTAATAAAAGATTTATTATAATGAAATTCACTAGTGCAATGGAAATTCCCAAATGTGAAAATATTTGGGCCTTTAATCTTGGGCAAATACATTTCAGAGTAAATTTGTGTGTTTTACTAAAAAAAAAAAATAAATGAAAGGAAAGCAAGAGGCTGCACATGTGTCTCATTTATGAAAGTTGGGGGGACGGGGGAGATGTGGAGAAGCAGCTCTCCCAACTGCAGCAGCAAGATACATTTGTAAGAACAAAGGAAAGGATCTGTAATACATCCTTAGGATCTTGAACTTCACTTTAGAAATAGCTGATCTGTGCCTGTGCCTGTTCGTGTGTGTCTGTAAAACATTGGGACTCTCATACCTACATAATTTAATACAGGAAAAAAAAATTTCCTAAATTTGAGCAAAACCTTTTCACTGGCAGAAAAAGACTGAGACATTGCAGACTGAAGTGAACTGGCATAACACAAGTGTGCTTTACATAGACACACTGACAGCAATCACTATTTAACAGCTGTTATTAAAACTCTTCACTTTCTCTTCACAGTAGCTAAGAAAGGAAACTTTTAAAACTTAAATTTTTATCATTTTATATTCTACCAACTTTTTATGTACCCATCAGAGCTACAAACACACCTCCATAGCCTGGGCCAAGCGTTCTTCTAGTGCCATGTAGGTGAGGAACTGAGGATCCACGTAAGAGATAGCTTCAGCAACTCCCAGTCCATCCGCAAAGCCATCAAATAGGCTGAGAAAACAAAATCCATAACTACGATTTCAGATATCCTGTGGTGAGGATAGTTATATTACCATATTGATAGGTCTGTAAAAGTTCTACAAGCAGGAAAACCTCTAAAATGTGTTAACGTAAACTTTGAGTTGAAGAGCAGGAAAAAGCCACAGCTAAGTACTGAGCACCAGGAGTTAAAGGATCACCATTTTGCCCACTACTAGTCTATTATCTCACTGGACAAAATTTGTAGGAAAAATCTCCTTCTATGTTTCTAACTCAAAAGGCTACTTAATGGTAGTGCTTTTTCCTCACGACATCTTTTCCCTAGATTCCCGTTTCTATTCATTTTAGTTTCCAATGAACGTAGATGAAAACATGAGAAAAAATTACTATATTAAATTCTATTGTTAGTTAAGGTCTTTTTCTTTTCTCACTTTGTACTTCTTAATTACTTTGGGTTTTAGAATATTTTATTTTCTTAAGTTTTTCACATTAATCTCCCTTTTCAATGCTGCTAAGAATCAAGCATCTTTTACTACTTAACAGTTAGAGAATAATTTTTCTCCAGACTGTCCATTTTTATGATTTCTAGTTGTAAAGGACTATGAATCCTAGAAGAAAAACACGTTTGACTCTGATGTTAATCTACTTCCTCTACCCTTTAGACACACAGAATTCTCCTTCTACCCTGGTCTTGGTAATATTAAGTATTTCAAAATTAGGAAATCTTAAGTATGTCTCTGGCATCTTCTCTCTAATCTTACTGTCTTGGATATTACATTCAATTCCTTTCTCAGTGATCTTTTCTGTAGGTAATTCTTCTATCTTTACCCAGCCCAAACTTCCTAGATCTCCTAACCTATATTTCCAGTTGCCTATGAAACACTTTGCGTAAATGGACACCCACCACTTCATACATCTAAAATGATTTGTTTTTGTCTAAAGGCCAACACTGTTGACTTCCATATCTTCTCAACATTTGGGTATCATAGTCAGAAACAGCCATAGTCACACAAGTTAGTTCAAAATAGTGTCAGTGTCAACCAGTGTGGCACCATTAAAATTACAAATAAAGTAGATATATAAAAGTGATTCTTTCTAGCTTAGCAGTACTGAAAATCAACAAACATCACATGGCACACAGAAACATGCCTATATAATCATATATGAATAAGTCAAATAGGGACTTATAAGTTAACTGAGTCATAGGTAACTTGAAAAAAAATAATGAATTGTGACTTGTTTTTCATCTATAAAATATGCTGAGTGAGTACACAAATGCCAGTTACAGAGATGGCACCACTGCAGATATTCAACAATAGAAACATTCTCTCCACACATACTGCTTTCTTATGTGGTTTGCATTATAAGATTAAAACTCATCAGAAGTAATATTTCTACTTAAAACTTTCACATTTTTGTTATCTTTCTGTTTGCTGAAGGAACACAAACATGTCCCTTCCTGTAGAAAATCCATTCAAATGACTAAAGTAAGTTACTTCCTAATAATTCTTTTCTAGTGGCCCAATAAGTATTAAAAATCTAGTGGCCCAATCAGTATTAAAAACACTACTATCATTGGCAATTACAATGGTAATTCATCTTTCAGATAAGAATTACTAATGGGTGCTAAAGCTAACAGACGGAAGTTTGGCAGTGAGAGAATAAACAGGTTATTTATAGTCTCAAGGTATCTTCCCACTAGATATCTATTGGTTAAAAAGGGGGAAATGGCAATAGTACACAAATCTGAAAGACCAATGTTCAAAATTAATAGCAACAGTAACAAAATAATCGATCATAACTGCCTTCTGCTATGTATTAAGGACATAATGTTATTTGTATGTTGTTTTTCCTAAAACTGAGTAACTTCATTTATGACATCAGACAAATACAATGCAAAAGACAGTCTAAAAATAAGCACTATATACTTTTAAAAAATTGTCAAATTTATAAAAGACAAAGATTGCTTGAGGATATGTCTGGATTAAAAGAGACTAAAGAAACATATTAACCAAACACAATGACTGGTCCTGGACTAAACCAGAAACAATATCTACGTAGTCCCTGGCAATAGGGGATGAAGTAATCAGTACGGTATCAGCACTAATTTTCTGATTTCAGAAATTCTGTGTTATATAAGAAAATGTTCTTAGTTTTCAGAAATTCATTCTAGGATTTTTATAGATAAATAAATCATTCCTGTGGATTTTTCTCATGAAAAGGTCAAAAAAATTCTTACCATAAATACAGAAATAAAAAAAAATGTTTTAAAATGTTAATATTTAAGGGATTTTAGTGAAGCGTAAATGGGAATAATCTGTACCATTTCTGCCACTTTCTTGTAAGTCTGACATTATTTAAGGTATTGACATATTTAGGTTCAATTCAAAACAGCAAACATTCAAAAAACTTTCTTTTACAAATCAATGCCATAAAAACGTAAAAGTCAAAAGGGATGAGATTTCCTATGGAGGGATGTGGAAAAGAATCCAGGTAGAAAGCAACAACTACAATAAACTTTGAAGACTCATAAATGGGAAAAATCAGAATTTTTCTTATTCAAAGATTCAGTTCCTATCACTTTAAGTCATAAACAAACTGTATGCCATAAGTAACTAAGCATGTTAGTAACACTGTGCTACATACCTCCAGTCCACATCTAAGTCTTCACTCACACTGGAGTCATCCTCAAGGTTGTTGTTACCATCCAGCATGAAAGCTTCTGGTTGTGCGAACTCATTGGCGGGTTCATTTCCCTCATCGCTGCTGCTTTCATTGACTTCATTGTACTGTAACCAGGGAATTTCTCCCTCCTCCAAAGATGTCTGTTCCCTAATAAGGAAGAAAAGGGTGCTGCTTTCAAACACATCCTCACTGGTTTTTTGTTTTTAAAGTATTCTATTTAGGGCAAGTAACTTGTATTCTTGGAGTTCTAAGTTCTTGTGTTTATGAGTCTAATTAAGAATTTTCCTTAGCGGCAGAACTACTTAAATAGGAAGTAAATCAGCTGGTGAGATGCTAAGCAGGTAAAGGCATTTGCTACCAAATCCAACAACCTAAATTCAATCCCCAGGACCCCAATGGCGAGAGAACCAACTCCCTTAAGTTTTTTTTTCCCTCCCTCCTTCCCTCCCTCCCTCCCTCTGGACCCCAATGGTGAGAAACTCCCTTAAGCTGTACCCCCCCACATACACACATACAATAAAATGCAATAAAAATTTTAAATACAAAGTGAATCTGTCAAGCGGTCGTGCTTAGGAAATAGTTCCTAGTTCAAATTTATTGGTCTTACAAATTATATCTGCTCTTGTATTTCTCTGCAAGAGAAACCCATATTGAGACTACTTAAATTTGTTTTGTTTTTACTTGTAGAACATATGGCCAGCATTTCTACCTTGGGGAAATTTATAGAACAGAAATCTTTATTATTATTATAAAAATATCTCTGTTGCAATGAACCCACAAGTAAAAAACACCAACAAGAAATGTTCGTTCAGCAGCTTTTCACACTGTTATGTCCTTTTTGATATTCGTATCAGATTACATGTCACCTCAAGAGGTTTCTTAGTTGCTTTTCAGTTACTATCTGCCATATCATTCTGCTTATTTAAATGATAGAATTTATTTTTACTTAACATTTCCTGTTTTTATGACTGTTCCTTATATCCTTCTGTATTCCATAAGATGCAGTCTTCATTAACCCCATGCTTAGGTTATTCAAATCTGCTAAAAGTAGACAAATTTTACTATCCATCTGTAATTGAGCTAGGTATATACAAATTTCTTAGCATTGTAAATTTATCAATATTATCCATATAGTTTTATCAAAATTTTTGCAATTAGGTTACATTCAAATTTAGAACTGATGCATTCCATTGATAAACTGTGTTTACTACCACTGGTAGTGGCTTTTTCACTCTCCAATAATGCTTAGAAAAGACTCTATGAGATAGAGACAGTTCAATGGTTAAGAGTGGTTGTTACTCTTCTAGAGGTTCCAAGTTCAGTTTCCAGCACCCATGTTGGGTGGCTCACTACTGCCTACAACTTCAGCTCCAGGGGATCCGACCTCTTCTGGCCTCCGTAGGCACTTGCATACATGTGGCATATATTCCCACATAGATATACACACAATAAAACAATTAATCTTTTAAAAAAGACTTTTATTTGTGTGTGTGCCTGTGTGCATGTACAGAGGCCCAAGGAGGGTGTCAGGTATCCTCTATCACTTGCCACCTAGTCCTCTGAGGCAAGGCAAGGCCTCTCATTTAACCTGTTTTTGTGTTTTCTCTGTAAGCCAGCAAGTCCCAGGAAACCTGCTGTTTCTATATGCCTCAAAGCTGGGGTTATAGGGATGAGCCAGATGCCCTGGCTTGTTAAGTTGGGTGCTGGGATCTGAACTCTTGTTTCCTAAGGATTGCTCAGCAAGTGCATTTAACTGCTGAGCCATCTATCTAGCTTCTAATAAAACTTAAAAAAATATACCCTTAAGTCTACTTTTCAATTGTTAACAACTGTTCCGTTTTCTTTCGGTGAGTACTTACCTAAAATATTTCTAATCTTTTATTTTCAACTTTTCTATATACTTATACTTTAAATATTTATAAACAGTTTTAGCTTTCAAAAATTCACTGATAGCTTTACATTATAAAAGCAAGGATTATACTTTTTTCATGTGACTTCTAATCTCTATTCTTATAGCCCATCTTTTCAATCTATTTTTTCTCCTTTTCTATCCATTTTTCTTTTCATATTTTCCTAATGGACTTCTTGTGTTCTTCTCTTTGGGTCTCTGTGCATGCACACAGAGGTGGCTATCCTTAAAATATTAGTACATAGTTAACATAAAATTAACTAATACTGTGGTCTTCGCCCATATATTTAAAAATTACTACTATCTAATGTTTAGTTGTATCCCCTATCATCGATTTAAAACAAAATAAATTACCAGGTTATATTATTAGATGATGTTTATGAGAACAGCCAGTGTCTCCCAAATGTATTTCATTTATTGTTATATATCTTGGCATTTGACTTCAAGAGGGACATTCTCTTTAAAGTTATAAATTATACACTATTACCTACTTGCCATCTACAGTGTATAACTGACACTTCAAACTTCCCAAATAAGTCCTTTTTCCTAATCCCCCTCCTAGGCTTGTCCATATTAGCAAATGACAGTGACATCTACTTAATGTTCAAGGTGAAAAACCTAAGTCACAACTTATTCCTCATTCATCTTCATCCAATACTTAATCTATCCTATTATTCAAAATATTCTTGGGGCTGGAGAGATGGCTCAGCAGTTAAGAGCACTTACTGCTCTTTCAGAGACCCAGATTCAGTTCCCAGCACCCATATGGCAGCTAACAACTGCCCTTAACCCCAGTTCTAGAGGATCCAACAACCTCTTCTGGCCTTGGCAGTCATCAGGCATGCACATAGTACACTTACATGTAGGCAAAACATTCATACGCATAAAATAAAAATAAAATCTTAAAAATTTTTTCAAAATAGTCTCAAACTTGAATTTTTTTTTGTTGTTGTTGACTTTTGTTTTACTTTGGGGTTTTTTAAATTTTTATTTTATTTTTTATTTTGGCTTGCTTGGCAAGTACTCTACCATTAAGCTATATCCTCAGCACTCAAACTTTTTAAATAAAAGTCACTATTACCCACTAATCAAACAGTGCAACTTGTTCTTTTTAAAACTTGAATCCCTTTCCAATTTAATCATCACAAAGCAGACTATCATCTTTCAAAATTAATGTATCAGTTAATTCTCCATTTAAAACATCTCACTGCTCTCTGAAAAAGTTTCAATGCTTCTAACATGGCCCTCATTGTCTGGTTCTTGGCTATTTTCATCTCATCATTCCTTTTCAGTATTTCTGTTCTTACCGTTCCCTTTGCCCAGACAACATTTCCTTAACATTAATTGTTTATTTTTATTTACGTGTGTGTGTGTGTGTGTGTGTGTGTGTGTGTCGTGTATTGTAATGTATGCCTGCTTCAGCATGCGTTTGGAGGTCAGAGGCTATTTTTTTCCTTCTACCATGTGGGCCTTGAAATTGAACTCCAGGTCATCAGGTACCTTAGCCCACTGAGCCATCTTACCAGCCACTTTTTATCTTTTTAGATCTCAGCTGAAATAATTCCTGAGGCATCCTCCCTGAACACTGTATTTAATGTTCTCTATTAGTTTCCATTTATTACATTACTGTCTTATTCTCCTTGCAATAAACATTAGTCTGTAATTTATGTTTCTATCTTCCTTATTAAAATGTGCCTTACCTAAATTTTTTATTACTTATTTTTTGCATTTTTTATTGAATTTTTGTGATTTTCATATAATACATTTTGATGGCATTTAGATCTACTCCCCTCTCCTCACCCCCCGCCCCTGCCCAATGTAATAAACTCTCATATATGCACACACATATATATATATATATATGGCCTATAGATTTTGATGTGTCCCCCAACGTCCTTCAGTGTGGGTCCATCTGCTGAGCCCACCAAAAGTCCTAAACCTGTAAGACAGTGTCTATCCCCTTCATAGCAGCCATCAACTGCCAAAAGTCCTTTAGGTTGGGCCTACCTAAATGTTTTTATATAATTAATATCAAGCTGGAAATTTATATAGTTTGACAAGTACAAATTTCAGTTATTAGTGCAAGAAAATATCCCATAGGAAACTAAAAGTCGAACCAATTAGTTGTCATAGCAAAACTTAAATTACCAAAAAGATATTCTCTTACAATAAAATACCCAGATGGTTTCACTACCCAATACTAACAACCCATCAGAATAAGCTACATTAACACAGAAGCAGAGTATAGAAAAAAAGAGAAGCATACTATTTTTTAAAGCAAAGCAAGTATCAAACTTATATTGAAGCCAAAATCTAGAGACAATATTTAGTTAAGGATCTCAACACTAAAGTCTTCTAATAGAAAACAAAATTCATCATTAACCCATAACTACACAATCATGTTTGGCTTACTTCAAAAAAGATAGTTAAATATATCAACAAATTTAGTAACAGAAAAACTCCTTATGATTAGCGAGTCAAAAATGAAAAATCATCATTTTCACATTGAAAAGATGAGTAAAATTCAACATTCATGCTAGAATTTCATAAAATAAAAGACTGGTATTTCCTTAATGTGATTTAAAAATTCTTTCCTCTACAATCATGAGACAAGAGGGTCCACTGTTTCCACTCTTTCAATATAGTACTTTAAGTATTACCCAGGTCATTAAGGTCTGAGAAAGAAATAAAGGGATACAAATAAGAAAAAATTCAAACTGTCCCTGTTTGTAGACAGTATGATCCTAAAGGCCTTAAAGATTCTATCAGAAAGCACATAGATTTGATAAACACTTTCAGCAAAAGAGCAGAATAGAAAAACAGATTAAAAATCAGTAGCTTTTCCATATATCACTAAATGACTTGAGAGAAAGAAATCGGGGGGGGGGGGAATCACATTCCTAATAGCCTCAAAAATCAAATTAATTAAAAAATAACACACGAGGCATGGGGAGATCTCAACCTCAAAGCTAGAAGCACTGGTGAAGTATTAGAACAAGGATTAGTAAACTGTGAGCCATAGGGTCTTTCTAGCCTGCCACCATTTTTGTTAGAAAAAAAATTGTTGAAACACTGTGGTACCAATTCATTTAAATATTGTGTTTGTCTGCTTTTAAGCTATAACACAAGAGGTGAGAAGTTGCAGAAGAGATCGTACACAAAACTCTGGCACACCAAACCAGCAATATTTATCTGGCCCTTCACAATTCAAATTTGAGAACCCCCAGACTAGGAATATTCTCATTCAAGTTAAGAAGTCAGAGATGTTTACCTCAAATCACTGTTGCTCTGGAGCTATCACCCAATGCAATCAGGTAAGAACATATTAAAACTTCACCTTTTGTAATTAGCTGCCTCCATTTCTGAGAATAACCATTGATCTACCTCTTGTGACAAGCTGTGCTATTCTCCTTAGTCTTTTTACTATATGGCAGTAACAACACTAATTATTCCTACATAACTTAATCAAAATGATTGTTTAAATGCTCAAATTTCCTTTGTAAGGTATCATGAGGAGCTGGAGAGATGGCTTAGTGGTTTAGAGCAGTGGCTGCTCTTGTAGAAGAGCCAGATTCAGTTCCCAGCCCCCACATAGTGGCTACCAATCATCTCTGATGCTATTTCCAAGAGATCCAATACCCTCTTCTGACCTACACAGGCACTGCACACGTAGAACACTTACATACATGCAGGCAAAACTCATAGACAAAATAAAAAGAAATAAATTTTAAAAACTAAAGCAACATGAAAGCATACATTGTACCTTTATAAAAATACTGAAATTGCTAGCATTTCTGTGGTCCTTACAAAATACCAAAGTATTTTGTAGATCTATTTGTCCTACATAGGCTTATAAACAGAATAGCATACCCAACATGTGAATGTGATATATGCTATTCTTGTATAATACACATTAAAAAAAATCTCACTGGTAAACATACCCCTCCTGAAGAGATAATTCTTGGTTTTCTTCTTCAGGGCCACTACTATCACTCTGTAGCTCAGGTTCATTCTCATCCTTTCCTGGCAGAGTTTCCCAGCTTTCATCACTTGAGGATTGATCTTTTTCTGTACCAGAAAATCGATGAGGCAGAGAAGCAGACCATTCCCCATCACTACATTCTGAACTGCAAATCCGAACAGAAATAAACTACCATTACACACTTAGTTACTTTTACTATTTGGAGTGTTACTAGGCATTATGGGATAGATAGGACTGCTTGATGTCACATGATTAGTCGGCTGCTTATTCAATTTTTAGAAACCTAAAAAATATGGACACAGATTCAACAGAATCTCTTTTAAATGATTATGGCATACGACAAGTTATGGAATATGTATCACTTCAATTTTCCTTTTACTGGAGTACATAATTCAATAGTATCTAGGCAAAGGCTTGTCGTAATTTAGACAGTCTATATAAATACTTAAATGCAATTTTGGAATCATCAATTGTATCTGGAATGAATAACAGATTTATTTCTCATCTGACCTGAAACAAGTTTCTAATTATATACTGATCCTTCTTTAAAAAAAAAAACAAAAAAACTTTGCAGATGGCCTATACTATTACTACTCATAGATACCTTCACTTTTAAGAAGAAGCTTTTCAAAGTATATCCCTACACAGCACTGAGCACCTAAGCTTTTATAACACTAACTAGTCACTGAATATTTTTAGATTTTTCACTCTCCTTTCCAATTATATTTTTATTATAAAAATCCATCTGCCAGAAGAGTTCCTTTCTCATTTTCTATCTGTTGAATGGAGTATCACCATGTTTTTATTTTGGAAACTACGTATCTTTAACTCCCAATTTTTTCATGTTTGAGTCCTTTATTATTCATTCTTTCTGCAAAGTGAGTCTTATACCCTAAAACCCTTTTCTCCATTTCTATTATAAAGAAAAGAGGGGCTGGAGAGATGGCTCAGCGGTTAAGAGCACTGACTGCTCTTGCAGAGGACCTGAGTTCAATTCCCAGCACCCACATGGAGGCTACGAACTGTTCTTAACGCCAGTTCCAGGGGAATCCGAAGCCCTTTTCTGACCTATGCGGCATTACACGACACAGGTGCACTCACATACATGCAAGCAGTACACTCATATACATAAAATAAAAATAATAAAATTTAAAAAAAGAAAAGAAAATGCAAAAAATAAAAGCAAAAGCAAAAAGCCCACAAAACAACAACAGCAACAGCAACAAAAACTTATTCAAGTGATTTTCTAAAAGTCCACAACTGTATAGTCAATTTGAACTGGTCTTTCTAGATTTAATTCTACTTCCTCAATTAAGTAAAAGCATACATTCTGGGGGCTGGAGAGATGGCTCAGGGGCTAAGAACACTTGCTGTCCTTCCAGAGGACCCAGGTTCAATTCCAAGGATCAACATGGTGACTAGCAACCGTCTGTAACCTCAGTTCCAGGGGACCCGACACCCTCTTCTGGCTTCTGTCGGGCATTGCATGCACATGCTGCACTTACATACATGCAGGCAAAACACTCATACACATAAAATAAAAATTTAAAAATTGTATTCTGGATATTATCATCATTTCAACTTACATATTAAATAGTACATTTATTAGTAGCTCTTTTTCTCCCCCAGAGCAGTATTTCACATAATTAAATTATATGCCTAACATGCTCACAAATCTTTGGTACTGTTTAAATATTAACACTGTGTGAGAACAGGGGTTCTTAAGTTAGCCTTCCTGGATTTGAATACAGCACTGATCAAATGTGGAAACTGCTCTGTGCTTTAATTTCTCATACTGTGTGAATATGTTAGAAGTAACTAATAACTCACTGAACTCATGAGGGAGATAAATGAGTATCACTTATTGATCACTACATTAGTGCCTACAAAACAGTAAGACACCAATGACTGTCAGTAAATCATTTCTTTACCAACTTCTCTTTTACTTAAATACATGTAGTTTAAACAATATCTAATAAGCAATATCTACTAAGGTCCAGGTGAGATGTGCTAGCTTTCTCTTTTAATCCTCACTCAAATAAGTACTGATTAAAATGAGAAACTCTAGTCTGTATACGACCTGATGTGTTTTACCCATCATGGAAATACCAGCTTACAGAACAAAAAACAAGTGCTAAACTTCTTCAAATAACAATCCCAGTACATTTTTATATCCAACACTTCCTTACACAAAGGCTCTATCACTGTCCTAAAGGTGTAACTTTTTCCTTCATGCTATCTCTCATCATCAAAATATCTTCACAGTCACATTCTGTAGTCTGGTCCCCACCCAGTCTTTCATGAAGTCTTTCAGACTTCATTTCTTTCAAGACACTTCTGTATAAAATTGCTTTTTATCTGCCAATTATTTCATGGACTAAACTTGTGGCTTATTTAGACCAATTCATTGTATTGTGACCGCTTCTTTAACACTGCATTTATTTTTCTCTAAGTGCTAAATAAAATTCATAGGAAGCTCAATATACCAAAGGAATCTCGAGTTTAGTCACAACAAGTGAGCTCTGGTTGGCTGCAAAAAGCCTACTAGCCAATTAACTAAGCTGTAACTGATTGACAGACTGGTGGACTACAAAGCAGTCAATTAAAATTTTTTCTATGCCTCACCTCCATCTCCCAAATTTTGTTTAATCACGTTGCAGGAGGAATTTCTCATAATCTGCTCTAGTTCTGGAAGAAACCCAATTCATGAATCATTTTTTGTCTTGTTTTGCTAAAAATAAACATAACTACATTAACTGGTCTAAAATATTTTTTGTTACATAGGTGCAAAATCAGTTTCTTTAATAATTTACCAGCAGTTTCCAAGACACCTGAATAGTGAAATATTTCTAGACTGTTAGAAGGTACTAAAGATTGCTATATGGCTTTAAACAGAAATCTTTAGTGGCATTATTTTCCTGAAAAGGGTTAACAATGGACATTTTACAAGTATGTACCAGAAATGAATGTGTATTTCTGATGAGAGATAGAAATTAATACATGAGAAATTTCTAGTACTATTTCAATGTGAATGTTACTATCTATGAAAACTTTAATATTTATTACTAATATACAGCTCTAAAAGCCTAAATTGGCTCAAAGGTCAGTCAGGGAGACTTTGCAGTATGATTAAGATTTTCTACTATTAAAAAATTCAAACCCAACACAGGCAATTTCTTTAAAGAAAAAGTATTATGGTGATACCATACTGGCAAGAGCATACTTTGAAGTCAGACAGATTTTGGCTAGAATTTAGGACAATTAACTTTTCTGAGCTCATTTTTCCCTTGTATAAAATGACACTATTACTATTCAATGGTCAGATCTACAATAATGCTTAGATAAAAACTGCAAACAAAGTATTTAATACAACTTTTGGAAAAAGGTGAATGTTTTAAAAAGAAAATAGTTAAATTTTTCATAATACAGCCTATATCCTTTTAGATATTTCAGTGGACTGCTTACTAGTACACCACTATTTTCCTCTTTTCTGTGCCAAAGAAAACTTACCATTATCAGCTGGTTTGTTTTAGTGACAGTATCAGCCTTCTGGAAAACCCAATCAACTTTAGCCTTTCTTTACACCAGAGGCCAGCAAAGTATACCCTAGACCATCATCCCAAACTAGGTTACCTGTTTTTTTTATTTCATGATCCAGAAAATAGGATCTTTTTTAAAAGAATGGTTATAATCTTAATAGCTATAGCTCCATAATGTCCTTCATTTTTCTTTTTGGTCTACAAATCCTAAAATATTTATTCTGTGGTGACCCATTAAAAAAGTTTGCAACTCATATAAAATACATTTTCTAAAATAACAGCCAAATCTTTTAGAATACATACTTCTGTTTTATAATCCAGTTCAATAACGTTTAAGGCTAAACTGTTAAAAAAAAAAGTTTGCAGCCCACTAAGACAATATCATCCATATCATCACCATTATAGAATTACAGGTGTAGTTCTACCTTGGATTCCATGTGTACGTGTGTGTTTCTAAAAAAAAAAGAGGCAATCATTTCTTTGGGGATTCAGGAAATGAGGTTACTTTTGGTTGGTATTACTTTCATATCTTACTTCTACCTGAGATTTATAATGTATTTCACTTGATTGAACTCAATGGGTTATTTAAAAAAAGACCATGAAGTTTGTGGGGGGCGGGTAAGGGAAGCAGATGTGGATCTGGGAAAGATTTAAGGGGAGGAGCTGAGGGGTGGTAAATATGATCAAAATATATCATATGAAATTGTCGAAGAATAAAAATCTCAAAGAACTAATGAATAAAAATACATTTTTTAAAAAGTTTATTTTGTTATCAACTCAAGTGTAAAGAGGGTAACACTTAAGTTATTATTGTCTGTTTTTGAATGTAAGTAAATGCTACCTGCAGTCAACACCAACAGAAAAACCACAGAGGTAAGTAATTTTTTACTTTATTCCCGAACATCTCAAAATTTAAACAAGACAGGAAAGTGTGTTTAAGCCTGTGCTTTAAGAGCTTTGTTTTGGCTGCTCATAGATGGTTTCTTTCTGATATAGGACATACATGTCAGAGCTCCTTCTGCGTGATGCTCAATGTATAATACAACAGGAAAGAAGTTAACTCAGCCTCACAACAATAAATTTCTTTATAAGGTTAGTGAATACTATGGGAACAGAGATTATTAATATGCATTTATTGAACAACTGAAACAGAGTCTGATGCTTAAGAAAATTTCAATAAATTATTTTTTTAATATATTAAACTGAAATAAACTAAATACTAATATTCACTTTATTCTCCCAACAATATTGTGGTTTGAATTAGAATGTCCCCCATAGGCTCTAAGTGTTTGAACAGTTTGTCCCCAGTTAATGGTGCTGTTTTTGGGAAGTCTTAGAAGATGTGGTCATGCTGGAAGAAGCACATCACTGGGGGCAGGCTTAGAGAGTTCTTAAGCCTGGCCAGATCGCCAGTCAAGCTTTGCTTCCTGTGCCTGCTTGAAGATTAGCTTCTGCTCCTACGCCAGCCTCCTCTGCTGCCATGCCTTCCGCCATGATGGACTTTTGCCTCTTTGGAATCATAAGCTAAATAAATGCTTCCTTTTGTAAGTTCCTTTAGTTATGGTGTTTTCTCACAGCAACAGAAAAGTGACTAATACAAATATAA